ACAGAGGATGGGATGGTTGGATGGCATCAATGACTCAATGGGCATGAGTTTGAGTAGGCTCTGGGAGTTGGTGATGGACAGGGAGGCCTGGTATGCTGCAGTTCATGGGGTGGCAAAGAGTTGGACATGACTGAGCAACTGAACTGAACTGAAACATAAATTTGTTTTCTACATCTGTGACTCTATTTCTGTTTTGTAGATAAGTTCATTTGTACCATTTTTTAAAATTCCACACATAAGCACTATCATATTGATATTTGTCTAGGGAAGGTCTGGGTGGGTCTCAGACTCTCCTTTCTAACAAGCTTCCACGTGATGCTGATGCTGCTGGCTGGAGGCCCACACTTGGAGAATCACTGGTCGAGCTCCTTACCTGGTACCTTCCTCACAGGTAATGCTGGAAACACTACATCTGTGTGTTCCTCTTAGATGCCTTTGTCCAGTTCCCACTCTCTACTGTTTTCTTTTCTTGTCTGTTTGACCTCTTCCTGGACTGTTAGTCCCTAGAGAGCAGGATCTGTGTCTTAATTACCTGTGGATTTCCAGAAAAATCTTAGCAGTACTCAAGCTGCTTGGAGAGCAGTGGGTCTCTCTCTGGGAAGAAGTGGCATGGAGGAGGGGTGGGTCCCAAGAGGCACTGTTACTTTTTCACTCTATATACTGCTACATTGTTTGGAGTTTGAAAAGGAGAATGATTTGTGTGTTACTATGTGATTAAAAAATTATGTCAAGAGAATGAAAGTACAAGTCATAGACTGGGAGAAAATAATTATAAAAGACATCTGATAAAAAATAAAACTGTTTCTGAAATGCACAAAGAAGACTAAAAACTCAAAAATAAGCAAAGAACCCAACTAAAAATTGGGCCAAAGACCTTAACAGATGCCTCATCAAAAAAGATATTCAGATGGCAAATATGTATATAAAAATATGCTCCACCTCATCCTCCTACACTGTTGATGGGAATGTAAGTTGGGGCAGCCACTATGGAAAACAGCATGGAGGTTCCTCAGAAGACTAAAAATAGAATTACCATATGATTCAGTAATCCCCTTCCTGGGAATATACTCAGACAAAACTCTAATTCAAAAAGATACACACCCCCCTAAGTTCAGGGCAACACTATTCACAACAGCCAAGAGATGGAAACGACCTAAATTTCCATTAAAAAATGAAGGGATAAGGAAGAGGTGGTACATACATGCAATGGAATATTACTCAGCCATTAAAAGGGCAAAATAATGCCATTTGCAGCAACAAGGATGCAGTTAGAGATGATCATATCCAGTGAAGTCAGGCAGAAAGACAAATACCATATGTCACTTATATGTGGAATCTAAAATACAGCACAAGTGAACCTATCTATAATACAGAAATAGACTCACAGAAATAGAGAACAGACTGGTGGTTGCCAAGGTTGGAGAGGAGATGGATGGATTGGGAGTCTGGGGTTGGAAGATGCAAAATGCTACATTTAGAATGGACAAACAACATGGTCCTAATTCACAGCATAGGATATTCAACAGCCCGTGATAACCCACAATGAAAAAGAATATTAAAAAAGAACATATATACATATATTACTGAGTCACTTTGCTACATGGCAGAGATGGGCACATTGTAAGTCAACTATACTTTAATAAAAAAATAAATATGTTCCACCTCATACCATCAGGAAAATGCAAATTAAAACAAGAAACTACTACTGCACACCATTCGGATGGTCAAAATCTGGAACACTGACAATACCAAATTCAGGCAAGGATGTGGAGAGACAGAAACTCTCATTCATTGCTGGCGGGGATGCAAAATGGTACAGTCTCTTTGAAAAGCTGGTTGGTAGTTTCTTACAAAACTAAACATACTCCAATCATACAATCCAGTAATCATGCTCCTTGGTGTTTACTCATAGGAACTGAAAACTTATGTCCACATAAAAGTCTGCACATGAATGTTTATAGAGGCTTTATTCGGAATTGATGTCCCTCAGTAGCAACCAAGATGCCCTTCAGTAGGTGAATGGATAAGTAAACTGGTACATCTAGACAATGAAATACTATTCAGTGCTAAAAAGATATGAGCTATCAAGCCATGAAAAGATGTGGAGGAAACTTAGATGCATATTATTAAGTGAAAGAAGGCAATCTGAAAAAGGTACCTACTGTATGTTTCCAACTTTATGACATTCTGGAAAAGGCAAAACTATGGAGATAATAAAAAGATCAGTGGTTTCCAGGGGCTTGAGGGGAGGAAGGGATGAACAGGTGGAGCACAGAGGATTTTTAGGGCAGCGAAAATGTTCTGTATGCTACTGTAATGATGGATACGTGCCATTACATCAAACATTTGTCCAAACCCATAGAATGTGCCACACAAAGAGTGAACCCCAAGGCCAACTGTGGACTTTAGGTGATAACGATGTGTCAGTATAAGTTCATCGGCTGCAACAAAGGCACCTCTCTGGTGGGTGATCTTGATAATGGGGAGGCTCTGCACACGTGGGAGTACATGATAAATCTCTGAACCTTTCCTTCAGTTTTGCAGTGAACCTAAAACTGTTCTCAAAAAAGTAAAAAAAAAAAAAAGGAAAGAATGCATAAAGGACCAATCCTTTGACTAAGGCATCCTCTCTAAAGATACTAAAGATACTAACTCTGCTATCCCACACCCCCGCTGAGTCCGAAAATGTATCTAGCTAATAGCATTACTAAGCGCCAGGTGCTGCCGAAAGACTTTTAAATACACAGGCTTATTTAGTCCTCAGAACCACCACATGAAGTGGGTACTTTTTATTAGCCCCCATGTGGGAAAACTAAGGCACAGGGATGTTAGTTACCTTATTCAAGGTCACTTGTTTAATTAGCAATGAGGCTGACATTCAGCCCCTGCTGGACTAATTCTGGGATGTGTCTTGACCTCTAGGAGGGCTGTACCACCTAAGTTATGGATACCTGGAGGATGGTCAAAAGGTGGAGTCATATTTATTCACACCTAACCCACTTTCTTCTAAAGAAGATTTGAGGGAACTGCTACCCTGGATTTTGTTATCCAGAGCGTACATTGCATAGAAAAGCTACCTTTAATTAAATTTCTGCTAGAAACAATACAGAAACATAAGCTTAAGCACAATGGCTTACTGCCCCTTCCCCCTTCAAAAAAATATCATCAAAGTAAATTGATCAGTGGCTTCTGAGAGTTCCTGTTCATACCGGTCTCTCACTGGCTACTGGCAGGCAAGCAGCAGCAGGTACCAGAAGGAGAGGAAATGTTTATGGGGAGGGGGCAACTTTTAAATACAGAACATTCTCTACATTAACTTGATTTTTTCCATGCATGGAGAAAAGAGCTGTATGATTTGACTGGAGCGGAGGAACCCTTGGCCCCATGCAACAAAGGCACCTCTCTGGTGGGTGATCTTGATAATGGGGAGGCTCTGCACACGTGGGAGTACATGATAAATCTCTGAACCTTTCCTTCAGTTTTGCAGTGAACCTAAAACTGTTCTCAAAAAAGTAAAAAAAAAAAAAAAAAGGAAAGAATGCATAAAGGACCAATCCTTTGACTAAGGCATCCTCTCTAAAGATACTAAAGATACTAACTCTGCTATCCCACACCCCCGCTGAGTCCGAAAATGTATCTAGCTAATAGCATTACTAAGCGCCAGGTGCTGCCGAAAGACTTTTAAATACACAGGCTTATTTAGTCCTCAGAACCACCACATGAAGTGGGTACTTTTTATTAGCCCCCATGTGGGAAAACTAAGGCACAGGGATGTTAGTTACCTTATTCAAGGTCACTTGTTTAATTAGCAATGAGGCTGACATTCAGCCCCTGCTGGACTAATTCTGGGATGTGTCTTGACCTCTAGGAGGGCTGTACCACCTAAGTTATGGATACCTGGAGGATGGTCAAAAGGTGGAGTCATATTTATTCACACCTAACCCACTTTCTTCTAAAGAAGATTTGAGGGAACTGCTACCCTGGATTTTGTTATCCAGAGCGTACATTGCATAGAAAAGCTACCTTTAATTAAATTTCTGCTAGAAACAATACAGAAACATAAGCTTAAGCACAATGGCTTACTGCCCCTTCCCCCTTCAAAAAAATATCATCAAAGTAAATTGATCAGTGGCTTCTGAGAGTTCCTGTTCATACCGGTCTCTCACTGGCTACTGGCAGGCAAGCAGCAGCAGGTACCAGAAGGAGAGGAAATGTTTATGGGGAGGGGGCAACTTTTAAATACAGAACATTCTCTACATTAACTTGATTTTTTCCATGCATGGAGAAAAGAGCTGTATGATTTGACTGGAGCGGAGGAACCCTTGGCCCCACTCTCAGAGACCCCAAGTTCTTTCTCAGTGGAGCCTGAAGCTAATGGATTGGAGGCCTTAACAGGAGCTCTTCCTCTGAGCAGCTCAGGCCCCATCCAGCCAGAGTCAGCAGTCTTCAGCAGAGAGAGAGGGGAGGAGCCTGGCTTTGCTCTCTCTTTTCTCTACAAATGCCCTCCAGGTGATCCCACTGTGCGGCAGGGGCTGAGAACCACCAGGAAGGCCCCCTGCAATTTTCAAGTTCTAATTCTCACTCTAAAATCCCTCGGTTTTTTTAGCAGTACTGTGTGTTCTTATCCTCTCCCACAGCCCCCAAGTCCTTGCCCTGCCTTTCCGGGGGGGCGGTGCTGGGTTGGCTTGGAATTTAATCACCTCCTTGGAACCAGCGCCCAGCTCCCCAGGGGGCTGCTTGTTCACCTCCGGTGAGGCCAGTGGGTTTATTTATGGTTTCTGATTTTATTTATTTCCCCGCCTCAGAGCTGTTCTTCTGCATACAGAGAACTTGGGCTGTCTGCTGCCTGCCGGCCCAGGGCCGCCGTGAGCAGGGCCAGGATGGATGGCAGAGTTAGTCCAGCCCATTGGCTGAGAAGCTGGTTGCCTTCTTGGGGTGATTTATGCCATGCGGCAAGGCCCTGCCTGCACCCAAACGTCTCCCCCACAAGTGTTCCCAGCACAGGGCTTTGTGGGGGGTGGGGGGGTGCCTGGAAAATTCTGTTCTAATTCGGAAGGCTCAGCTCTGCCTATTTATTCTTTTGCTTGAGCACCAGCCCAGGAGAGTGTCAGCCAGATCTTGTTTTAATGCAGGTTTACCCCCTTCCCCCACCTTCTATTGCCAAGGACCAGTCTGGAGGGGTGGGGCGGGGAGTCTGCGTTGGAGGTGACAAAGAGGGGACAGGCCCATCATTCATCCCCAACTTCTATTTTTCCTGCTGTTAATACCTCACTTTCCACCCACTCCTGCCCACCCCCTCCCACCACCCTAACCAGGGTTCTGCCAAGTAGTGGGCATATCAGGCAGGATCTAAACAGGAAATCAGAAATCAATTCAAGTCCACAGTGGAGGGAATGTAATGCTAGGGCCTGGTCACATAGACACTGGAGGAGTCAAGAGTCAAAAAGGGCAGGAAAGCAACTTAGAAATTGTTGTGGTTGTTTAGTTGCTTAGTCATGGCCTACTCTTTTGCCACCCCACCCCAAGTACTGTAGCCCGCCAGGCTCCTTTGTCCACCGGGATTCTTCAGACAAGAGTACTGGAGTGGGTTACCATGCCCTCCTCCGGGGATCTTCCCAATCCAGGGGTCAAACCCATATCTCTTATTTCTCCTGCATTGGCAGGTGTATCCTTTACCACCGAGCCACCTGGGAAGCCCAGCTTAGAAATTAGCAGCATCCAGAAGCCATGGTCAGCTCTGAGGCTGAGGGGTGGAGGGGAGGGATGAGTGGCGGGAGAAAGGGGAGGGTGTGTGTTGGCAGAGCCTGGAAGCTGGTGCCACCAGGACAGCTGGGACGACCCCCGGCAGGGAGAGAGGGGCCCAGACCCCGCGGCGTCTTGCCTGACCCTGTGCTCCCAGCCTGGGACATGAAACCCCGCTGACAAGGAGTCTGGAGAAGGCAGATGAAAAACCGGGGCAAGGACTGAGGCTAACAGGCCCAAGACCAACACAACGGGATCGCCAGAACACCCTGCACCTGCTGCGAGGCCGCCAAAACCCCAGGGCTGGTTGGGGGTTGGACCCAGGCCTCCGCTGACCGCCGCAAGGCTGGGACCCATATCGTGGGCCTTTCCCTGGACCGGACATAGCAGGCTTCTAGCTCTGGCCCGCTTCTTTACGACCAAGAACTGCCTTGAAGGCAGATGGTGGAGGAGAAAGGGTTGACTGTGGTGATGGAGGACTCACCGAGCTTCTCGTTCTGCGCTCTGGCCACGTAACTCCTTGCAGGAGAGTCAAGCCCATGCGCTCACTAGCCTGTCTCCTCCTCTGAGCCCCGGGCGAGGCTGCATCTCCCAGCCTCCCCTGCGCCCAAGCGGGGCCCACGTGACCAGAACCAGCCAATGGCGTGTGGGCAAGAGCCTCCCGCGTCTCTTCCAATGCAAGGCGTTTGAACGCAGGTGTGACGGTCTGCGTTCTTGTTCCTCTGCTGAAGTCACCTGGAGGCTGGGGCGTATGGAACACGATGCCACAAGACAGAAACAGCCTTGATTCCCGTCCGGAGGATCACACAACCTACAATGGAATGTGTGTGTGAGAAAAATCTTTATTGCATTAAGATACTGAGATTTGTGACTACTGAGGACATACTGTATAGTAGAGGGAACTCTACTCTCATAAAGCTCTGTGGCGGCCCCGATGGGAAGGAAGTCCCAAATTGAGGACATAAATGTATATGTATGGCTGATTCATTTTGCTGTACACTCGAAACTAACCCAACATTGTAAAACAACTGTACTCCAATAAAAATTAATTTTAAAAAAGATGCTGAGATTTTGAAGGGTTTTCTTATTTTTTAACCACGGCATACTTGGCATTACCTCAATATAGTTGCTGTGTGCTATAATAGGTCCTCCCACCATATCAGCTCCCCTCTTACGTGCTTCTGTATCCACCAGGGCAGCCCTGGTTGCATTTCTGTGGTCCTTGCTGAGACTGTGATCTCCACAGAGGCCAGGAACTGCTTTAGTACAGTGGCATTATCCCTAAGCTAGCAGAGTGGCTGACACCAAGGGGGAAAGTAGCTATTGACTAAATCGATGAGTGAATAAAAAGAATGAATAAAAGCAAGACCAGAACTAGAACCTGGCTTTTACTGGAGCATTAGAAGGAAAACACTCAATCCAAGGGAGGCAGACTATAGCTCAGGAGAAGCTTGATAGATTAGAAAAATGATCCACTTACAACAGGTGAAATACAAGGCAAGGCTTTCAGAAGTTAAACACAAACCCTGCCGGTCCAGAGGAGGCGAGGAGAAGACCTAAGGGGACCCAGGGTTGTAGGGACCATGAGCCTGATAATATCCTCAGGGAGGGACCAGCCTCCACCACTGGGACAGCGCCCAGGAAGGAGGAAGCCGCACATGCAAGACATGGTGCGATCATCCCACTGCACTTGGCCTTCTCCCGGCATCTTATTTTAGCTGTCACATTTAAGAAGGATTTGGAGGTTTTGGAGGGGAGCCAGAGCCAATAGGAGAAATGATGAAAAGTTGGGAAAAAAATAGAACTTGTAGAAAAAGCCTAGGGGGTGGGTGGGAGTTAAACAGGGCTGGGGGAGGCAGGCAGAGGCTAATGAGCACCTTTCCAACTCAGGGGGACAGAATGAGGGGATCTGGGTGCCTATAGCAGCAAGAGAGACTTAAGTTAGACTCCAGGCAGTGAACCTCCGTTTAAAGGAAGTGATAGGTTGAAGGAGGTGGTTGGGCCTCTGGTGATGTCATCACCTCTTGGCTGTCCCTCTTCTCAGGACACCTCAGTGGGCCCCTCCCTGGTCCCACAAAGGGCCAGACACAAAGGGCGACTGGGAAATGTGAGGCACTAGAGGTGTTGGAAGATGAAAGAGGTCTGATAATGTGACTGCTGTCACATGACAAGGTAGGAGAAGACCCTGACCAGTGTCTCCCTGCTCTGGTTTATGTGGGTCTGGAGCAAGGGGCTAGACAAGATGATTTCTGTGGGTTTGGAAACTCCTCACATGACCTGAAGAAAAGCACTGTTTGTGTAATTTGATATTTGATGTGTCCCCCCTCAGTTTTATCCTGTATGGTTATATCCCTAAGAAATGTCTTAACGTCTGTTGGAGTAGATGACGTGTTCTAACCGTAGGCCTGGGACAGGCTTTAGAGAAGGGTTCATGGAGAACTAGGGAAGGCTCATGGGTCCCTGGATGTCAGGACTGGAAGGATGCTGGGTGGAGCCGGGGACTTTCAGATATGATTTTCCTGCAAGAGAAAATGGATCCAGTCCCCCTAGCTGAAGGACTTCTGTTCTTCACTGGCCTACGTCTAAGTCTGGGCAAGAGATGCGAAGTCCCTGGGCCAGAGATGCACCTCACCTGTAGGATCTTTGCTCTATCCTGCTCTGGGCACCACCAGGTGGCTGCCTCTTTCTTTCTCTCCACGAGGGAGCAGTCTCTGGGCTTCCTCTTGATTATCTGGTGATTTTAAGCTAAACCACGGTACCTACTTGGGTCTATGGAGGCCAAGAAGGCTGATATAGCACACTCCCACCAGCTGACTTGCTTCTAGGGACAGTTATTGGTCTTATCGAGCTCCTCAATCCCACCTGACCCATACCATCTTTCTCCCAGCTGAATGCTGCAGCCACCGCTGCACCTGGCCACTAGAGGGCACCACGCCATCACCACCACCCTAGAAATCCCACCCTCTCCTTTCTCCCCCTTGCTTATAGCACAGGAGGATTCATATTGGCACAGCTAGGAAATCTCAGGGTAATCTAAGGAGCTTAAATCAAAAGCCATAAAAAGCTGAAAGACAAAAGTGTGTGCCTGGCACTGTGCCAGATGCCAGGGATTAAAATGAACGAGACCCACACCTGCCCAATTCTCAGTCCTAAATGGGAAACAAACAAGGCAACAAGTAATTCCTGCGCAGAGGGATGAGCCTAGGGAGTTAGAGAAATGTAACCCTTTGAAAGAACACCCAAGAGGGGCCACCGCTCCCCGACTCTGGCAGGGGTCTCAGGGAAGATTCCTGGAGGAGCCAAGTCTTGAAAGGTGAGCAGGAAGTAGGAAAGGGCATCCCAGGCAGCGGCACAGCGTGAGCTGAGCCTCAGAGCATGAGTTTTCAGACTGGAAGGGGGGTGGTCAGAGCTGTGCCGTAGTCTGGGCAACGGGATCTCTTCCTTTCCTTGTCAGTCAGAGGAAACCCCAGCTGTTACACTAAGAGCTCAGTGGGGTACCCCGACTCTCTCGTAGACCGACCCTCCCCACTTCTCCTCTCCCTCCCTCCTGTGGGGGGTAGGTACCACCCTATCCTCCGGTGCTCAGGATGCAGACCTCCTGGTTTAGGTGTTATTATCATTTTCAGTTTGCTGACGAGGAAGCCAGGGCTCCCTGAAATGGAGGAACCTGCTCGTGTTTGACAGCTAGCGAGGGACAAGGGAAAACTCTCATCCAGGCTCTCTGACCCCAGAGTCTATGGTCTGTGCTGACCAGGGCAAGGGACAGTGCCAAAGGCTCTCTCTCCACACTGGCCTATGAGGCTGGTCATCTGTAAGCAGATTTTTTTTTAATGATCTTCCTTTCCTTGTCAGTCAGAGGAAACCCCAGCTGTTACACTAAGAGCTCAGTGGGGTACCCCGACTCTCTCGTAGACCGACCCTCCCCACTTTTCCTCTCCCTCCCTCCTGTGGGGGGTAGGTACCACCCTGTCCTCCGGTGCTCAGGATGCGGACCTCCTGGTTTAGGTGTTATTATCATTTTCAGTTTGCTGACGAGGAAGCCAGGGCTCCCTGAAATGGAGGAACCTGCTCATGTTTGACAGCTAGCGAGGGACAAGGGAAAACTCTCATCCAGGCTCTCTGACCCCGGAGTCTATGGTCTGTGCTGACCAGGGCAAGGGACAGTGCCAAAGGCTCTCTCTCCACACTGGCCTATGAGGCTGGTCATCTGTAAGCAGATTTTTTTTTAATGAAGGTTTTTATGGTAAATGGTTCTACAAACTGTTTTTTTTAAAGTTAATTTATTTATCTTAATTGAAGGATAATTACTTTACAATATTGTGGTGGTTTTTGCCAAACATCAACATGAATCAGCCACAGATGCACGTGTCCCCCTCATCCTGAACCCCCCTCCCACCTCGCTCCCCACCCCATTCCTCTTGGTTTTCCCAGCGCACTGGCTTTGAGTATCCTGCTTCATGCATTGAACTTGCACAGATCATCTATTTTACATATGGTAATATACATGTTTCAATGTTATTCTCTCAATTCATCCCACCCTTGCCTTCTCCCGCAGAGTCCAAAAGTCTGTTCTTTACATCTGTGTCTCTTTTGCTGCCTTGCATATAGGGTCATCATTACCATCTTTCTAAATTCCATATATTTCCATTAATATACAGTATTGGTGTTCTCTTTCTGACTTACTTCACTCTTGTAATAGGCTCCAGTTTTGTCCACCTCATTAGAACAGACTAAAATGCATTCCTTTTTATAGCTGAGTAATACTCCATTGTATATATGTACCACAACTTCCTTATCCATTCATCTGCTGATGGACATCCAGGTTGCTCCTATGTCCTAGCTATTGTAAACAACAGTGCAATGAACACTGGGGTACATGTGTCTCTTTCAATTCTGGTTTCCTCAGTATGTATGCTCAGCAGTGGGACTGCCAGGTCGTATGGCAGTTTTATTTCCAGTTTTTTGAGGAATCTCTACACTCTTCTCCATAGTGGCTGTACCAGTCTGTATTCCCACCAATGGCGTAAGAAGATTCCCTTTTCTCCACACCCTCTCCAGCATTTATTGTTTGTAGACTTTTCGATGGTGGCCATTCTGACCAGCGTGAGATGATATCTCATTGTGGTTTTGATTTGCATTTCTCTAATAATGAGTGATGTTGAGCATCTTTTCATGTGTTTATTAGCCATTTATACGTCTTCTTTGGAGAAATGTCTGTTTAGTTCTTTTGCCCACTTTTTGATTGGGTTGTTCATTTTTCTGGTATTGAGCTGCATGAGCTGCTTGTATATTTTGGAGATTAATTCTTTGTCAGTCATTTCATTTCCTATTATTTTCTCCCATTCTGAATGCTACCTTTTCACCTTGCTTAGACTTTCCTTCGGTGTGCAAAAGCTTTTAAGTTTAACTAGGTCCCATTTGTTTATTTTTGCTTTTATTTCCATTACTATGGGAGGTGGGTCATAGAGGATCTTGCTGTGATTTATGTCAGAGAGTATTCTGCCTAGGTTTTCCTCTAAGAGTTTTAAAACTGGTCAGCCACATGTAAACAAATGAAACTAGAACACTTTC